CACAGGCAGTTTCTCACCCCTGTGCTTAGTGCACCTCCCTTCTGCTCTGCCCAAGGGCTGGGTGGGGGGCTCACACAGGAAGAAAAGAGCTCCAGCATCTGGGAGGTGCTTGAACAGATTAGATGGTATCGCGATGGTGCTGTTCCCGGAGAACTTTTCCTGGCACTTCAGATCCTCAGTACTGCGAACTGTGTTTCCCAGGTCCTTTCAATGGAGTGGATGTAGGTGCCATGGTGTTCCTCTAACTTTATTCTGGAAGAGATTTTGCTTCTGGTAGCACAGGAGAAGCTGGGCCAAGCATTTTTAGGTGTGCTTCAGCTTTCTGGACAATGCAGGAGTCATTTCAATCCTGCTCTGTCCCTGTGGGGTCTGATGTGCTGTGTCCTGCATCTCATGGGTCTGAGCCCCTTTGGCCACATCCTTGTTATGAATGTGGCTGTGCTGGTGTGATAACTAGACGGTGACTCTCTCTCGGACCAGGGATGGGTTTTCCTGCTCCCTGGTTGTCCAGCATCTTGCACAGCCCAGTTGGAACCAGGGTGATGGGTCTTGCTCATACACATGTGGTTTGCAACAGGGCCAGGAAGGAGTCCTGCTCCACTTTATTTATTAGTAGAGATGTAGAAGTCCACAGCACAGCTGTCAAGGAGTGATTCATTTCATTGGGCTGTCAGGAGTTGCATGCAATGAACAAATTCAGCTTTTCTGCAGAGCAAGGGAAATGGTAGCTCTGGGTCTGTAATGAAATGTTGACATCTTGTTGTGGCTGGGGGTAGCTGAGCCTGGGCATCTTTCTGCAGTTTAATGTCCCTCCTTGGGTGCTCAGAGGGGACTGAAAATACTGTGTCCTCTCCCAGGGTCCTCCTTGGGCCCAGCACACTTAGGAGAAGAAAGTCACACTGCTGGATGTGGCCCCATGCACGGGGACACCACAGACATGAGCTCAATAGGGTAGTGACGGTTTTCAAGGTTGTGCCTGTGTTTGAGGACAGGCTTTGAGCTCGTGGTGTTGCAATGCAAAGGTATTCCCCTGCCTATCTCTGCTGGATCATGATGGTGCAAGGGGACTATGCAGGCTTTCAACTGCCACGTGTCAGACAAGCCGCGACTCACAACACTGTCAGGAGCCATGTGCTGCCTTCAGTTCCTACCCATCCTTTACTCCACCAGCCGAGCAGGGAGCTGAGCTCAGGCCTCTGCCAGGATCCCACACTTACAACTGTGCAAACAGGCATGGAAATGGAGCAGGCTGATGTGATCTGCTGAGGACTCAGGGACTCAGTTCTTTCTTCCTCTTTCTGAGCTGCTTGGTCCATATAACGTGTTTCTGTAAGCAGTGTGAAGTCACGGATCTTCACTCATTCTTGGGTGGCTGGGATGTTCTGCCCTCTGGGATCCTCCTGGCTTTGCAGAAGCGTTCAATGATGTCCATGCATTCCACAGAACTGTGCAAAATTCATTTTCAAAAGGTGCCATCAGCCTGGGCAGGCTCAAGGGGTGTGCAAAAACAGATTGGCGATACAGACATGTCAAGTTAAACCCTGGACAAGGAGAAATGGGCTTATTTGATCCCCCTCAGCACAAGTCAAGATGGTGGGTTGGCAGCAAGTGGGGCTGAGCCCTGCATGGCCTCTGGCTAGAGGGATCTCAGGAGGGAGGGATCCTTTCAGGCTGTTTTGCTTTGGGATCAGCTGAAGCCTGATGCTTTCAAGGCCAGCCCACAGATTTGCAAGTCTGATGGGCTTTCTGTCTGGCAGGTGTCAGCACAGCCACGAGAAATGAAGTCACCAGAAAGGACTAATTTGTCCCTCTACTCCTGCAGGACAAGCCTCAGGGAGAGTCCCCAGGCAGGACGCCCGCGTGCCGCAGCCCTGTGTCAGGGTGGTGGTCTCACTGCAGATCAGATCCTACTGTGGGAGCAGGTCCAAAGTCAGCGGGGAGCTTGCTACTGCTCAGCAGGCTTTGGACAAAACCGGTGTTACCGGTGAGCCAAAGACCGGGAAATTTGGGGGATCTCAGCCACAGCATTTGTTATTTTATTTTTCTTAATCCCCCGAACCCACAGACTTCCCTGTCTGTGTGCGTGTGTGCACGCAAGTGCTGCTGGAAGCAGACAAGGTGTAGGATGAAATGGCTTGGCCGAACTTTGAGCTTGCTGGAGCACAATGGCTTTGTCTGGGTGGTACAAAGGCTGATTGTTCTGCTTGGGGGAAGTTTGGCTCAGCAAGGTGGGGAGCAAGAGAAAGGAACAGTGCCGAGAAAGAAAGAGATCGCAGGTGTGCTGTTCCTTGTCCTCCTGTGCAGCCCTCACTGGAACCTGTTTTCCACTTGCTGACACGGAGTAGGTTGCAAATTAGCTAGAAAAGCATGTTGTGGGGAACACTGAAAACGCAGGTATGTATGGGAGGAAATGAGCAGGGGACTCCGACTCCATAATAAATGCAACGGATTTCCCTTTATCGCTCTTCCTGAACGGTGTGTGGGAAGCAAACACAGTCATCTGA